AAGTTGAAGAAGCCTACTTGGTAAAGGAATTCAGGCTCACAAATCCCTAATTCTTTGTTTTGGGGTCCATGTATGTTCTTTAGTAGCAGGTGTTTGAGACTTTGAGGCCGAAAACAGCCATCATCTTCCACCGAAACGTCGTCTCCTCGTTCACGCCCATGGTGGAGGCAAAAGCCCCGGTGGCAACAACGGCACACCGGCCACGCGCTTGGGAAACCCGCGCGCGTTTGGGTTCGGGTTGGTTCTTCTTTGGGAAACCGTGGAGTCTTAACGTGAAGGCGGACTGGGACGAAGTGCATCTATTCTGATTGGAAGATCTTGCACTTTTCTAGATCAATGGGGCCATGCACCGACCGAAAACCGGACTTTCGTCGCACCTCGCCTCTGGGTTCATCGAGCCGGCTGGATTCGAAGCGGGCGGAGGACGCTGGGTTATGTGGACTGCGGGTCGTGCGCACTCCCAGCGCGAGATCTGTCGCTGGAAAGGGATGTCGTTGGCCAGGGTGGACCTTCAGTAGTCTTAAGTCAGCTCTGAAGCCACCCAACAGATCAACAAATTATCAAATGGTTTGCCTGGTTGAGGAAGTAGAACACTGCTTAGCATAACACCTTCAAAGCTGCCATCCCCCATGTTTCAGAGCTGCCCCCGCTTCGGGTCCAAGATATCTTCAGCATCTCCAGGACATCATCTTGACTTGATTGAGCCAACAAAACCACGAAGGGTGAATCTGCTGCCTCAGCATATAAAATGTCATATGATATGATGGGTTCTTCCTGTCGATCCATTCGGTGAATTCAGTGCTCCAATGCACCACCTCTGGAAAACAACCTTTTGCAGGTGGATGCCTTCAAGGCCCACCGTCCCACCCGAACACCACGGTGGGAAGGAGCACTTTCAGGAGGAGCCGGAGCCGGAAACCCCTTTGGAAGGAAGATGAGCGAAGAGTGAAGTCGCAATGATCGGCGAGTGAGGTGGGTTTCATACAGATCAGATCAAGTACGTACTCCGAGAGCCTAGCAGCACCTGCTGAGGGGTTTAGCATCTTCCGGCCGAAACCCCAAAGACCAGCAGTCACAAGACGGGGTGCTATCCGGTTAGGGGTGCCTATTATCCACTCACTTACGGACCAAACACCACCCCTTTGTGACTCCTGGTGTATATATATATATATATGTGTCACCCCTCCCAAGGCTTTCTTGAGAAATACCTCCCAAAACTGGGATGGCCTGCTGTGGGTGGATGGCCACCAATCAAGTTAGCGCGGTTCACCGCGCATCATATGTGCGTGTAAGTGGTCGACCCGTTCCCTTGCGGTGATCCACTGGGCCCCAACACATGGGAATGCACTCCAAGCGCCGCTTAGAATGGCTTATCTTCAACAAATACATCCCAGGGACCCGAACCAAACCATGAAAAGTCAAGGTTTTCACGTACCAAAACCAGTTTGTTTGATAGGGAAAACCAGGTTTTTGATGGTTTGTGGGGCCCCTGGTCTACACTACGAGCTCGTGTGCCCAACTCCTTTGCAACCACTCCCCGCAACTGGAAAATCGAACCCTGAAAGGCCAATATATAAACTTTGTGGAGACAAAACACGAAACAGCCCTCTTCGCTGACCCAATTCTGTCCCCAAGGCACCCCAAAACACCTATTTTAAAAAGAAACACATGGACAGTCCGAAGTGTTTCCTGCTAAAAAATGGGTGGAAACGCCCATGTTCTGGATCGTTTTCGGTCCCGATGGGGTGTGGCAAGTGTGGATTCTTCAGTCTGCCACCCAAAACCAAAGCTTATTGGATGCCTCATCATACCCAAAAACGACCTATGGGACTGGCATGTTTTGCTTACATTCGGATGGCTTCGGGGGTCAATGTAGGCCTGCATTCCTTAAGTCATAGATTGGAGTGTTTGGTTTTTTTTTGTAGCCCCAAAACACGCAAAACACCACGGAAAAAAACCGTTTTGCTTCGCTCAACCGTGGGCGCACCCCGCAGATCTGGTCACCATGTCAGGGCTCCCCGACCCATGGTCCGTGAGAGTTGCAAGCGATCGCACAGCTCGGTGATGGCATCGCTCTGGCCGCCCGGTCGGTTGTGGTTTGATTGAACATATTGAACTGGGTGCTGGAACTGGGTTCAGTGGGTCATCCCGTTCGGCAGTGGACGCGCAGCATCGAAGCAAAACGGAACTGGAGGGTGACCGGTGAGGCAAAAGGCCAGCGGTCGTTTTGACCTCAAAAACTGAAACGAAAACAAAGAAGTTGAGATTCAGTGAAACAACTGAGTTGAGGGTTAACAACTGAAACAACTGAGTTGAGGGTTAACAACTGAAACAACTGAGTTGATACTCAGGTTGATAACATGTTGATATATGTTGATATCAAACAACTCCACTCAGTGAAACACTGGACGTGTGAACCCCAGGACCCTATCCTGTCCCTCCGAAAATGCCGCCGAGCCGGACCAAACCCAGTTTCTGATCGACGCCGAAATAGGCAGAAGTGGTTTGTCTTACTCATCCTCCAAGAGAATCAACAAAAGCTCCAAGCGCCCAAACCAAAGAACTTCTTACCTTTGTTACCTTGCTGGAATTCAACACACATTCTGCTGCGATTTCTTCAAGTCCCAAACCATCCAAGCCAAAAGCATCAAGACACCTGGTATTTCTATAGTGAACTAGGGGCAAATCCCAGCCCACAACCCTTGCACATCACACCTCACTTAACTCAACACCCCACCAACACCGTCGACGTGCCTTCAAGCGCCAAGCGAGAGCCGCGACGAGCAGTTCCACCCAGTCATTTTCCTCGGTCAGAAGCCGCTACGCGCCACGCCAAAGCCACGCGTCGGTCGATGGTCGTCCTTGTCTGCCGAGTATAACGCTGTGTCTTCCGGCCGGTGGGTTGGAAGAGGGGAGGAGAGGTGACTTTTGGGTGTCGTTTTCGTGTGGGTTTTTCTTCAGTGATGTTGCTCCCATGGTCGGAGGATTCATGCAAAACATGCTTATATCTACCATATTTGGACCTCCCGAGTTGTCTGGAAAAAAGGCATTCGTTTGGTTGGCGATGAACCAAAAACTTAGTGTTTTCCTTTGCTCTGTGAAAAAGTGAGCTCGTGATGGAATTGTGATTCATGAAAATCCCTCCCATTTGGATCGCAAAACCTCTCCATATATTGGAATTTCTCTTAGGGTGGTTTCAGAATAGGATGGCACTGGCACCCCGGCATGTCTTAGACAGACGGGTGGTCCAAACCAAAACCACCAAACTTGGGGTAACTTGCGCCATCTACGCATGAAACCACTGTAATTAACAGTACGTTGTGACAAGTCCTTCTGCCGCAGCTCTGGCCAAGGGGCCCAAACACCGAGTTTGCGCCAGTCAGGCGTCAGCAGCGCAGGCGGGAGCCCTAGCTGTTTGTCCAGGTTCACCCAAACTATTTGTTTTTTGCCGGGCAACATGAAGAATCAATCAAAAATGATGGTCTTTTCAGCATATCTGGGATCTTTATCCACGGGCCATACAGGCACTCTGAGAAAACCCAGCCCTCCTGTGGCTACCCTTGCCCAAATGTTCCAGTGTTGCGTCACGCGTCAGGCCATGCATGTATGTGGCAATATCCTTGTTGTTACTTTTCTTAATGATGCACAACCGGTGTATAAACACCAAGTTCATATTTTCGCTGCGACGGAGACTGTGACAACCAAACAGTGGTGGTAGGGCCAGGGCCGCAAACGGAGACTGTGTGGACACTCGAGACATCTCATCCCTGCCAACCACAGAATGGGCCAACGTGCCTGGCGGATCATGCGGCTGCATCACATGATTGAAGGTGAATGAATTGGCCAACAGCGTCTTATATCCAAACAAGACTGTTCACCGTACCTCTAGAAACAGACTCGCGATATCTATATATATACAGACTCGCGATATGTCTTCGACAGTCTTGGTAATATATTTAAGACGTTGCGTCTTCAGGAGCAACGATATGCCAATTGGGACTTGGTTCAGGTTAGAGGCGTTCAATGGCAGCCCCAGGCAGCTACTCTTAAGGTTCGCATAGAAACCCCCATGAGGCCCACCATAGTTATGATGGGTTCACCACAGATCGGTTAGCCGACCAAGCTGCACACGGAATCACGTCCGCAAGATCAGGCAGACTTCGAAACAACATGTTGCATGCATGAACTGGATGTTCCTCCGCAGCTTCAAGGCTCAGGGAGGTCGGTCCTTTCTTGTGGGTAGCCATCACTGGCGGCCAGCTCCTGTGAGGGTGTGTGTTGGTGGTAGCTCTGTTGAAAGACTACTGTAAAACAAAACTTGAAGCTGATCCGGGGCGTGGGCAAGGGCGACCGCGTTTTGAAGCGGTCAGCTGTCAGCCAGCAACCCACTAGCAGCGACAGGTGAAATGCTGCTAGGTTGCACCAACACACCTTGACAAACCAAACGGTTCCAGCCTTTCAACTTTGGACCAGAGCAAGTCTGCTCAACTGCCGCGGCCTCAACCTTCATAAATTCATGAAGGCTAGGGAAACAATCAGCTCTTGCAAAGAACATGTCTTGCCCTGAATGTCGGGCTCTTCCCCTTTGAGCTTGGCTAGGTCTGGGCTCAGCAAATACGTCTCCTTGCAGGCGATACGTGCGTGCAGCACGTTGTCGCACGTTGGGAGACCAGGCCACCAACTCCCTCAACAGTCTCCAACTCCCAACAAACCAACGTTGTCTCGGCCTTGCTCCAAGTTCTGAACCGGACGAGTTGCGACAGGCGCCATGCGAGGTGACAGGACCGCCCACGGAAGGTCAAACAGTAACGCCCCCCGCTGAAGCCACAAACATGAATCACGCTGGCTGCTCGCAGGTGTCCGCAGGCTTGCAGTGTCTCCCACAACCACAAATGACCAGAAATTGGCTGGTGAAGTCTGTCTGAGACCGGGAACCCAGCAATGTATGTACAGCTTCTCGGCCTGCTCTGGTTTGTCCACCTGCTGCCGGGAAGACAGCAAGTTGAACATGCTGGCCGGTCTCGTTTCAACTCCTGGCCCTCGTGGCACAGAACATAGCGTATCAGTCCACTTCTGTTCACTGCACCTGTCAGGCGCCAACACCAAACACGGAAAGCGCAAGTCCGAACAACTTGTGGATTGAACCAGCACACCGCACACCCTGCACTAAATCAAGAAATGCACCTGAAGCCCTTCCACCGCAAGGCGCTTGATATCACGCATTGCCGGTGTGTCTTGGTCACTCGGTTCCATGCCATGTTCCTTTCGCAGCAGTCGCAAGGCCATGATGGAATCCCATTCCTTGTCCCAAAGCGGATGGCCACTGGTCAACATGTTGAACAGGAACTGACTCCCTTCGCTGAACGCCTGGCTCCCTAAAACAATCGCTTGCTGCGAGCACTTGCCACAACTTGCAGCAAGTACATCAGAAACAGGAGGCCTTTCAGGCTCAACATGCGATGGAGTCTCAACAGGACGCCATGCAACCCATCAGGGCATAGGAACGGACACTTCCTGCCCTCCAGGGTGCGGCAAAACGAGGAGGCATGTCTTGCCAAGCAGCGAACGGCATGTCTGGCCACACGACGGTCAATCACAGAAACCGAAGGCCTGAGAATATATCAGAACTCCTGACTACCGAATTGGAGGATCGGGGCACCTCCCCGTTGGGGATGAGATCCCAGAAAATCAGAAAGAAGAAAGGAGCTCTGCTCTCAGGCCGGCGTCCTGGTACGGCTGAGGGCTGGAGTGGCCTCACGCAAAGCAAAGTGCAGCCATACCACATGATGTGGGTGGATGCAAAAGAACATGATGACGATGATGGTCTTTGGAGGGCAACGCTAAGACGGTTATGGGTCGAGGAGGAGTAATACGAGCGTGAAGGCTCTGATTGGAATGGCAGAGATCAAGGCCATGCTGATGCTTGCATGAGGATTCGAAAGGAAAGGAAGGGAAATGAACAGGAAAGAAAAGGAGAAGGTGGAAGAAAAGTCGCTGGCAAAGGCGGAAGACCAGCGCCAGTGAGGACAGTGACGGCCAAGGGAAAGATGAGGGGTCTATCCAAAGGAGTCCAATGGCACAGAGTGAGTGGGAACAAGGCAGAATGCCTCCAAATTGAGCAAATAGGCTGCAAGTTCACCACCCCTCCCCCCACCGGCGCGTTTCTGTTGACTCGCCTCCCTGGATGCGTCCGCGGAAGCGCTGCGAGCGTGCAGTGAGTTGCTCCGACTCAAGGCCATAGAGCAGCAACTGGCCCAAGCCTGGCGGTCTTCGGACGTCGCGGCCCGCGGGCACCAGGAGGCCGCTTGGGAATTCGATTTGGTACTCAGGTACTGGTAATCATCAACTCGATTCATTTTCAGGTACTCAGGTAATCATTCATTTCCAGGGAATTCGATTCATTTCATAGGTAATCATCAACTCGGGCTAGGGACATCATCCTCATGCTTGGGCGGCTACAGTGGCTCTGCTTCCCGTGATCGGTGGCTCCGTGGAGCGGGAAGTGAGCATGACCGCTCCAAGACGTCCATGCATGAGAACATCAGAAAAAACATGAACCAACAAATTCACACCACATGTAGATCCCATGTCCCCCCTGTTCCAACATCCACATGATCCACATCCATGGGGATCCCATGACTGGCACGACGGTGAAATCACACGGCCCAGACACGGCGCACGGTGCCCACAGCACCGGGCCACAGCGGCGATGGTACCGAGGTGAAGAGGATTGGATGCACCTGGCGGCATGAGTGGCCGGAAGCCTCGGAGGGCACCGGGGCACCGAGCTCTGATGAGGTCTGCAGCATGGGTTGATCGAATTGGAGGGCACCGCAGCATCCCTGAAGGCATCGTGGGGGGGCAGACCCTCCTCTCCTGGCCCCGAAAGGAAGACGAGGTGAACTCCACTTCCATGAGAACGTAACAGGGAGGGTTTTCACATTCTGCAAGCACCAGGGGGTCTCCAGTGACAAGGATAAAACATGTCACTTTGTTTGGCAAAGGGGTCGTCACATGCATGATCAGGATTCCTAGAAAAAACGATGGAACCAAATCATAATCAGAAGGCTAGAACTGTCTGGGCCCTCCGATGGGGCAACCAATAGGCTTCACTGCTTGTGGCATCTGCTGGTTCTCCAAACGGGACACCCCCTCTTGAGTGAATCTGGTATCACTTGAGATTGGGATTCCCTCTGAAATCCACGGGTTCTGTACGACGGCTGCTCGCTGAAACACATGAGCTGGCGGCAGCCGGGTGGTGTTACCGGTTTTCAGCGAGGAGCAAGCCTTCCGGACATCCAGGTAGCTTCTGAACCGGCGGATCATCTCACACACGTACAATTTTTGCACAAAACAAAACGGTTCCAAAAAGACCATAAGCCCATGGCTTCAAACTCAAAAATTTGAAGGTCTGCTGCCTGACCAGCACACTTCACTTCCCCCCCATCTCTTGCGCAACAGCAACTCCAAAATGAGTCTGAACATGCAAACATAGGCACACAGTTTGAGGGACCACTTGCTCCAATTCCACTTAATTTTATTTAATCTAGTGGGTTGAAAACCCTGAGACTTGGGGCGTGCAAACCGGTGGAGCTTGGTTTCACCCATGCTGCTGCACCTGCTCAAAGGATCCCGGACTTCGCCAACCGCCACGTCCGGTCGACCGGGGTGTCCGGTGGGCCCTACGAGGGAAGGAGGAACCGGCTGGAGGTCGTCCTATAAGGAAAGCATCAACCATTTTTGGCTTCACTATGAGGTACTCAAAGAGGTTCATTGTAATTACTTAATATAAGTTCAGGTCCAGGTTCTTAAGCAACTTACGCTGTTGTCCACTCAAATGCTCTAAGAGCTCACAACAGCAAAGCCTACCCCACAGCCGCTCCCTCCGCAGGCGGCAGGCGCCTCACAAGCTCCACAAAGCTCCAAAAAGCGCCAGGGCTGGTTGTGCAAGAGAAGCGCCTGAAAGGAGCACCAATTCGAATTCGGGCACCGACCTGCTTTGAATCATGCAAGGATCCCGGATTGAGGACATGTAAAACCTGCTCCTGCTTGAAGTGACCTCTATTTCTGGACCAACCAACCACCCAACATATAGCCTTGCCCTATTAAAAAAAAACAGGTCACCCAAGCTCTAGGTAGGTGAGTCAGTCCTGGCCAATGGCCACCATGGACCATGGCCCGTCCAGTCACACGGCCGTTTGGGAGCCGCCAGCCACCCCTCTTCACCTTCTTCACTTCGAACAGCACTCGGCCACGTTGGTGTTCGAGAAGTTCACCAAGGGCCTGCAGCACAGGGAGAGACGGGCCCAAAGGCCAATGTCTGGGACTGGCGGCCAATAGCATGGTCTTTGGTTCTAGCGAGTGTTCATTTACAATGTAACCTACTTCAGTGTGTGGCTGCATGTTTCTTCTAAATTTTAGATGATGAAATTTACCGTGCTCCTTCAAAGCACCTCTCCTTCATCGGCCCGTTCGCTTCTGAATTCCGACCATCCCCTCTAGATCTCCCCACCGGTCCTCCCGTCCCGTCGCCTTGTGCACCTGGGCGTCCTCCGCGGCACGGAGCACCTCGTCGTCGAGGCGGAAGTCGTAGCGGGCAGCGAAGCGCAGCAAGCGGAGCAAACGCACCTGGCAGGGCGTGCGTTGGAACGTAGCGCGCAAGAGCCGAGCGGGGTCCCAACGCGCTGGGACGTAGAGCACGACGGCTTGGATTCCATATGGACTTACCAGTTCACCAGTTCACCGGCCTACAGTTTAGTATGAAAAGGTATAAAATTAGCTTGAGCAAATTGAAACACAGGAACAAAAAGGAATTCCAATACTCTTCTTTGGATGATATCATCCGAATTGAGTGCCCCTCACAGGTTCGGTTGATCTCACACGTCGAAAGAGACGATGCTTGGGCAAAGTGAACAAACTACTGAACACACTGCCACCGAATGTATGATCTCGCAGTGGTGGAAGCATTGACATGCATCCACAAGAAAAACAAGAAGCCAAACAAAGACCAAGCGCCTCTAAATAGTTCTGAAGATTGTCACGCTCCACAGGAATTCTAGTCTTTTCCGAAGTCTAGCCATCTTTGCTTCGGACATATACATCTCCCTCTCTCGGCAGTGTATATACACATCATGTACCCCCCCCTTAGAGGAAACAACACATACGGTGTCAGTACGTCTCGGATCCAGGATCCGGATCCAGGCGCGTTTTGCTTGCCCAGGTGCCGGATCCTCCAAGAAGGACGCTTTGGCACCCTCCGGATGCGGGGAACGCACCAGGCCCTGCGCCAGGTCTGGCCTGAGAGGGAGGGCGCCGCGTTTCAACGGCAGCTTGACGAAAACACCAAAAAGGCGATGAACTCCAACACCATGGGAAATTCATGGTAGCCTTCTTCATATCCAGTCGATGCTAGCAAACATGTTCAAAGGATTCTTCTCGACTTCAATGCATGGGTCATCATGGATCACTGGATCGTGTGGTTGGACGTGTTCTGAACACCACACCCAAATACACCCAACCTTTCGTTCAGTCTACCCAAGTGGTGGCAGAGAATATATGATAGTGGTAGTGAAGCACAAACAGCTTTTGATTGAGGGCGTGTGAGCGTGCCACACTTGGAAGCCCATGCGAAGATGTCAAAGAACGTAAGTATTAGCCTCTAAGATCCTCTAAGGATGTAGTTTCAATTGTAGGGACGTGGCCTGTCATGTGAGTGTCCTGCATCTCGCTATTACACTATTGTCTTCGCCAGTCTGCTTCACCCATATCCGTCTTCCTTCTCCTACACGTTTCGACCCCCACGCTACGCCGCTACGCATACCCTTCCACCTTCGACGTGATGCCCCTTCCAACATGTGTGGCTCGTTCGCATCGATCTTCGCCACGGCACCGGCCGTGAACACAAAACAAGCGGCGAACTCACTCGCCTCGTCGCGAGTCGCATGTCCATGTCTAGTGGTTCCACCCGGCCATCCATAGAACTCTTGGAGTTCATCCGGCCAGCTCTTTGGAGAAGCCTTAAAAGATCTTAAAAGTGTGGCTGTTTAAAAACATATTTTCCCCAAAAGAATACACCGAAACACCCGGCCATCCATCCGATCATCCAGACAACTCCAAGCTCGCCAAGGCGCAGCCCTCCGGTGACGTCATGCAAAGTTCCAGTCTCCACCTCGTTGGAATTGCAGTGATTTCAGAGGTTCGATGGCACTGGCACCCCAAGATGTCTCAAACAGAATGGGGGTCCACTAAACCACCTAACTGGGAAGTTCCTTGTGATTTCTCGGCGAACTGGAGATGGGATCGTGAAGAGTCGGAACACAAGAGATCGAATGTCTCTCCGGAGCACGGAGCACACCCGAAAAATGAACACACAAAGCAACCCGGATTTGGGACCAAAGACCTTGATCAAACACCTCAGCATCCTTTTCGGTATTTCTGTCTATGAATTGTCGTGTGTGATGTCAACTAGCCTTTGCCCTAATTAGGCGCCCTACATCAAATCTCGCGACCCGTGCCCAGTTTGGGCCTCGAGGTACAAGGAGTTGAAGGTGGTGTCCCTGTGACAGCTATCCTCCTTCATCAGCACCTGTGGACCTGGCTCCGCTGTTTGGCCGAAGACCAGCGAGATCTGGAGGTCCCAAGGATGAAGACCTTGTCCACTTGAGTCTATTCGGTGGTGATGAGACCCACAAGGAAACAGCAACACACAACACTGTTGGGTACGCGATAGAGCTGATAGAACTGCAGGTTGGTTGGTAGACGCAGATGTCATCAAGTTCTGCTCACATGCCTTTTGCCTGGATTCCTGGATTCCTGCTAGAGGTCGCCCCGAACGATCAGAATTCGGCAACTCAGCGACACCGGAGGACACCGGGGCCGTTGATGATAGCAGCTGATAGCACAGGGCATGTTCTTGACTCGTGATTCCGTATTGGCGTGCTGTGGAAATGTGCTTCTTTCTCACCAAACTTAGATGTCGAATCAAGCGACGCCTTCTAGGGCTTGCTGAAGGCTACCAACCAAAAAATACAGCTAAGGACCCACACAGCCATGAACAACAATGTGTCAGAAGGGAAAGCAGGTTTTTGTATCGTTGGGGGGCTCTGACGTCTAAAGAAGTAGAATTTTAGCATACACACGACGATAGGCCTGCTGGTTTTGCCATGAACTTCTCGTGGGCATCTAAACTTCTACCTATGAATGGATTGCTGGGGGCCATGAAGGACAAATGTTCATCCGTGCTTCCAAAACTCACAGCGTGACGGGCTGAAAGTACGTATAACCATGCAAGTGACACTCTTTACGTTTCTCCGGAAAGCTGGTTTTCTTCCAAAGAACCAAAACCCTACAAGTCCACTCAGTAAAAACCTTTTGTTTTCCCTCAGTATTGCTTTTGTATGACCAACTCCAGTGAGGAGAAGACGTCGTTCGTCAACGCCCACCTGCAGACTTCGACTCCAGCGAGGCTGACCTCGTCGCGGACCGAGGCTGACCGCAACTGGACGGCATGAACAGCTGGGAAGTCCAGGTATACCATGCCCTTCCGGATATATAATTCTGGGAATGCAGCTGGAGTAGAAGAAAAATACTAGTAAGCCATCCCTCAAATTGATGGAGTGAGCGACTCCAATTAGAGAAAGGTATAAAGCGATATCAAGCGAAGAAGAAAACACATCGTCCAAACCCATCGATGGCACACGGAGAGCCGCGCATTCAATTTGTTTGAATTATCCCAGGTGCACCTTGCATTTCAAGCAGGCGGCCGATCCTACTGCTGGTGAGTTCAACCAAAGTGCTTATAGAGCTTTCCTCAAGATCATTGGGGTGACAAGCTGGCACGCCCTCCAGCACCACCCAAAGTATATGGTTAATGCATGGTAAACACATGATCAGGGTGGTCCATAGACCCATTCTTCTAGCTGATGTTGCCTTATAAATGCTTATAAGTATTCCAGTTGCCTCAAGTCCTTGTATTCTCAGCCCTCAACTCAGGCCCCACCAGCCTCACAGCTGTTTCTTTTTGTCGACTGTCATGATGGATCATATGGGTCACAACACACTCCCGAGGTCTTTTTGCCTGGAAGGACCTGGAGGGCTCATCTGAGTGGATGAGCGTTGGCCTCCGGGTCCACATCTGCAGGCGTCTCTGGCCCAATCCGCTGCAAACGTTTCGGTGACCTCACCAGTGAGCATCCAGAAGGACACCTGGATGCAGCGCAAGGCCCGCGAGGTGGACTCGGATGATGTAGACTCTTGTCTCTTCATATGATGTAGATGCTTCATAAGACTCGGATGATGATGTGGACTCGGACAATGTAAACATGTTTCACCTCAGGCCTGAAGAGCATGTCCAATTCAAATGGGAGTCTGACCAATCAAGAGTCTATAGGGCCCTTCCTGTTCTGCTTCTGATCTTTGTCCATCTGGGTGTCCTATAGACATTTTGGGCCGCCTTCCATTTTCTGGTCACCAGGCGCAAGCCATCAGCTGTAGCTTTTCCAATTCTCTTGCAGCCATGCAGCAGCTCTCCAACTCTCATCATTCATGGTGTTTGCATTTTCATACTTCCAGCTTGTCCGCTCGTTGTCTCCGATCGCCACGTGCCACCCAAATAGCATTCGTCACTTTCCTGGTGCGCTGATGTTCCGATTGCCATTCCTTGCTGTTCGTCCACGATCGCCGAACGGACTGGCTGCCAGTCACTGGAGTCGAGAAGCTGGTGGCTGTGGTCGCACCTTTGAACTACAATGGTCTAACTCTCGGAATGACAAATATTGAAATAACAACAATTGTAGTTTCTTTTTGAATCTTTTTGATAGTTTTTGGATCCAACAAGTTGGCTGAATGATGGACTGTCTCCAAGCGCTTCTGAGACAGCTCACAATAGGTGTTGCTCTATTTGTCCGATCGGGCCCCCAATAATCATGAAGTTCTTGGGTGACCTGGACATACCGACAATGGCCCAGTTGAGTCCACACCTGTCGAGAAAACTCACACCGCAGTGGAAGAGCTTGCCAATGAACTCTTGCCCTAGATCCAGGCAAACAAATCGATATGGATCTCAGAACATGGGGCACTCCCCCAACCTCCACTGGAAAGGGATCAGTCTGCCCATCCGCTTCCTATGGACCCCCACCCCTCCAAGCTGGTGATGTCCACCGAGACCTGCCGTCGAGAGCGCGCTCGAGAGTCCGACGGTCGTGGCGGGTAAGAGCTGCGAACGGAGTGAAAAGCTGGGAACATTCACATGGAAGGTAGGTTATACCCAAACACTCCATGGGAGTGGGGTATACATGACTATATGCCGATCAGGCCAGGGGTGGTTGACTGGGGGGGTCAATGTAGGCATACAGGTATAGGTTATACCCAAACACTCCATGGAAGTGTCATGGGACTGCCGATCAGGCCAGGGGTGGTTGACTGGGGGTCAATGGGGCGGCAAATATGGCAGTCCCATGGAGTGTCTGGGATATGTTCCCATAGGGATCCAGTCGTACAGGGAGTGTGCCTTTCAAAAAAGGGGGGGCGACACTTCCCTCACTCCCCAACTAGGAATCTGAATGTTATCTAGAGTTGGAAGTCTATCTTACAAAACACTGACACTTTCTGACTGCTTGAGATACGTAGCTAGACGTGCACTAGGACTTAGCTTTGACTATGAACAAGGCAAACCCAAGTAAGTCTCAGCCAAGTCAGCTAAGCCAACTATCTTCAGCACTCATCTTGAACTTAGGCAAGTTGAGGCTGACCTCGACCGCTATAGTGCTTAGATGCGTAAATCAAAGCTCAGTCCCACCTACTAATCTGCATGAAGGTTTCAAGTTCAAAAAGAGTTGTGCAACTGATCATGTAGGCAAGACACTCCCTGAAATTATCATGGAAGTGGATGGCACCACCTGTTTGGTATTCGGATTTCATGGTCATCCATGGGACCAGGCCATGCACGTAGCAACAAGGGCATCGCTACTAGTAGCGAGGGCAGTAGAACTAGTAGCAAGGACGCTACGAACGTAGCTCCTGGCGAGGACAAAAGAACTCATAGACATGAGGATATATAGTGAGTAAACCAGCAACATTAAAACAAATCATCTTCAATCCGTGTTGATTTCTCGATCCCCTAATTCCACCGACCGGACCAGCGACCGCCACACGACCTCTCTGAAAGGACGTCCCAAGCCTCTGGAAAGAGTAATTTCCTAGGACGAAATCGCCGGTGAACGCGGAAGAGTTCATGCAAACATGTGGAGGGTTCCTATCCGAAAAATAACAACTGTGAACGCATGATGCGGAAGATGTGGGAGGCTCTTGGTGAAGCATGCGTGAGCCAGAGTTCGTTTGTGGATTGAAATGGTGCACAGTGATTCCAGTGCAGGACGTGAACAATGCAGGATGTGAAAAGCAACCAATTGTCCGTTTTTTTTCCCGCGTGGCGTGGGAAACGCCAGGACGGGATGAAACATGATGAAACCCCATTCCAACTGAACCAATCCATGATGAAACGCCGGGCGTCCTCAGGCTCTGTATCGGCTTCGTTCCCGCCCAAAAGGCGTACACTTCGAAAAGGCGTTGCCCAACGCTTCAGAAACCCTGTCTAAAACGCTTCAGAAAAAGATCCAGGCCTGGCCATGCAGGCTAAACACATTAATTTTGTTATCGCCCTTGAGGTGTTGCATGCCCACACCAAACATGCAAACATTGAGAGCAATTCATTTCAGTTCTTGATTCATGGGTCTCTATAGTGGTGATTTTGAATTAGCATGTGGGTTTCTGCTCTTTGTGGTGAAGTGACTCTGCACCCTCGTTCTGGGGGCATTTCTTCGTTCAAGTGCACCCGCCTGTTCTGCGGTGTGATATATGCCTGACAGCAGGAATCGGTGTTGGCTTTGCCAGCTTGGGCCAAAGCATCCTTTGGATAAACTCAAGCGGACAAGCCATCCGTTACCCGCCAGCCATTCCATGGCCGCTGTTCTCCAGCTAGTTGGCGCTTCATGATGCTTGGTTCGTGGGTAGTGGGGGTCCTGGGGTCCTCAGGCTCCTTCGGTTGTTGTGCTGCGATCAACGGTGCGTTCCACGGTATTCTGTTGGGTACAACTGAACTCACCAAAAGAAACCAAATCAGGATCTTGTGTCCCATGGTCGTATTTGCGGTCACGAGAACAAACACAAAGCTCTTCACTTGGAGCAAGACTGGCGTGCCACATCGTGCCACTCTGGTAGGTGCAAGCAGAGGGGAAAACATGTCTGGACTCTGGACCCTCTCGCCTGGCGCTTGGACTTATCTAACTAGCGTAACTAGCGCAGCTACTGTGTTCAATTGAATATTGTTCACATTGATGCTCGGTTTGGTTTAGAACATTACACATAAATTCTTTGCCATCCATTCAGTCTGTATCCAGTGGCAAAGACCTCAAATCTCCCTTCAACAAAATCTCTGCGCCCTACCGCATCTTGCTCACAGATCCATTCACCTGTATCCAGTGGCTCTCCCTTCATTAAAATCTCTGCGCCTGCTTCCTTGACGACGATGTGTTTATTCATGTCGAGGGGCAGATGCATGGTACAAGATGCATGTTCCTAGCCCGGCTCTTTCTCAGGCATATCGTAGGTTTTGACAAGACTAAGCATCTCAAAAATAGCTGTATTTCACCGCAATCTGGTCCACGCTCTTGCGAGATTTCAATCGGGTTGCAGGGTTAGCCCGCTTCATATTGAATATTGAAGAGATCTCTGCTTCGCAGTCAGGAGATTGCAAAGTCTGTTCACCTTGCCATTGCGGTATGCTTTTGTTCTTGTTCGCAATGATTTGCCTATCAACCATCTTCTGATCTTATCTGTCATGTCGCGACTGCAAGCGCCCGAAAACACATCTATGGTAAAGATCCTTCCTTGCTCAACACAAGGTTGCCAGTACTTGACCCTTCAGCGATGATGACCCTCGGTTGGGCTGCACAAGTGAAGGGCATGACAGCTATGACAGCTGCATAATAAACTGCATGTATAGCAAAAAGTACGTAGGCTTCGGTGATTTGTGAACAACAAGAGCCAGTATACTAAGAGAAGTACTCAAAAAAACGAAAGTGATCATTCTTGCCAGCCACTCCTGAGCAGTTTCCATACGTCTTCAGCTAAGTCTCGAAGACTGCTAAACTGAAACATGCTGTATGGTGTCTTTGAGCTTGAGGCCAATGAGAGCTTCATGGAAAAAAAACATGGTAGCTTGAAATACACTTTGCAAACTTCCGCGCTTCTTCAGCTCTCTGCCGGAAGCTTATATCTCCATGGCACTGAATCTCTCGTGAGGGAGATCTCGTCCGGTGCATCTCGCTGGCCCAACCGACTCTGATTCTCGCCGAATCCTCCGGGGTTTTCTTTCGATTCTCTCTTCTTCCTCCGCACTCATCTCCACCTTGGTGGGGCTCTCGGTAAAGCGCCTCAGGATTTCATGTTTGGATCTGCACTGTGAAAAGGGCAAATCTCTTGAGTTCTCGCCTTGCAGTTCGGTGATGGCCGTTCTCGTTCTCGACTTTAGCCGTTGAGCCGCCTTTGCCTCATAGAAGGCTAAGAAGGCGCCACATAGACTTGCGACTCTGGCGCATGGCCAGAAAGAGTGGCTGAGAAACGGCTCATTCTGTATGAAGCGGGGCAGAAGCACGACCGAGGCAGAAGCACAAACACATTGCGAACGCATGAGACATGTCCAGCACGAAGCTTTGCTGCTGGAAGTACCCAATAGTTTTCTGCCCTGTCGAATTGGATCCGCATGCTGGCAAGCCCTTGATGAGGCCTCTTCACCGTTGGACGTACTGGGCCTCTTCACCGTGTTGGCGAACTCAGCACAAGTCTTCCAAAGATGATCCAGAATCGACGGAAGCACCGCCTGGCGATGGTACTGTAGCATAGTGTCTTTGACCGAATCTTTTTGGATGGCGTTGCCTAACTCTTGGAGAACAAAATACTCTCTCTCTCTCTTCTTGAGAGGTCCACCATCGTGAGGTGTCAGCTCTCAAAGCCCTTTTGCGCCTCCAGGTCGATGCGGCAGCCTTGGTGGAAATCCAGCCTCATAGCCTTCGTTTTTGTGGCACGCGGCCACTGCCAGAAAACGATGACTCTTGGAATCGCACGCAGGGGGTCAGTAAAAGTTTGGTTCTCACCAGCATAACCACCCCTACCTCGCCACTCAGCCTTAACCGGGTTAATGTCCTCATTGGTCACACGCCGAGTTACTTGCTCGCACTTGTTAGCATGGTGACAGATGAATATCTATTCTCCACCTTTCTCCTTCAAAGCAGCCCAGTGTGGACAAAATTTATCATCGGCAGTTTGCGGGATGCGAAAGGACAGTATGCCAGTTGAACACTTTGGTCAAGCTTCTGGCTGGCAGAACCACTTTGAGTGACAAATTCAACTGAAGGGCCGAGTTCAATACAACGCCAGTCTTATCGCCAAGCGAAGCGGCTGCCTAGCTCTCGCCATCATCTCCCTCACCTTTCGCGGGATGGTTGCAACCACGTCTGGCCGATGCTTGTCTCAACCCACCCGAAGGCTTTCTCCCCACCGCCCGGACGTTCCCCGAACCACCGGGTGACGCGCCAACGGACCGACCACTGCGCTCCCCGAGCCGCGATCGGCCGCGAACAGAAGCGGGCCCCTCGCACGCCCCCGAGCCGCGACGGCGGCAACAGCTGGGTGACCCGGACACGGTGGCCGTTCGGCTGCCCTTCTCGGGCACCAGCAGCGGCGGGCGTCGCAAGACGCTCTTCAGCGCCTCGTCGTGGCGGAGAAGCTCCTCGGCGCGTGGAGCAGCCGGAGCGCGAGCCAAACGGTGGGAGGCAAGCTGAGTTCGAACCCTCGAGCAGGTTCAAAACACAGGACAGGATAGATTGATAGATGGGTTTGAAACTCAGAAGTCTTGGGATGATAAGGATTAAGAATCATTGGTGCAAATTTGGTAGCCTAAGCTCTTGTCTTCACCTGTTGAGAAGGTACTTGGCGGGGGGTGGCGCAGGGTTGTAAAAGCCATGGCTTGGGGGATGGATGACCAATGTTTTTTCACGTCACATTGGTGACCATTGAACAGGGCCTGTATCTGAATAAGGTTCAAAAATAAAGGAACAACAAATAGATCTTAAATATATGTATGTGTAACAACGTATTTACAAAAAAAAAAACACATTGCACTGTGCTATGTTCCGCGTGATATCACAGGTGTTTCAGCTTCCCCCGATCGTGGGTTGCAGTGGCAGATTGGTTGCAGTGGGGGATGCTCACTGTTCTTGCGCCAAATGGGTGAACATCCCAACAGCCCAAAGGACTTCGCAAGGGAGGCTTCCACCTCTTCAATTCTATTTGGGTGGTTTAGATGGACTCCCCATCTCAAAGACATCGGTGGGTGCGCCCTCGAAGCTCTCAAAGCACTGCAGTTGGAGACCCGCAGTACTCATGCGGCCCAGCATCGAAGAATTCCACCGTGCTCCTGAGCGACGCCGTGACGCATGGGACTCGGACTCGGCCCGGAAGACCCCAGCTTGGCGGAGCACAAAAGAACATGGCTGCTGAGCTGTGGGAGGGGGGCGTCTGTTCCGTCTTGGCCTCAATCAGCTGGATTTGCTGATTTGGAAGCGGGAGAAAGATATATATATATATATCCCTAGGGCTCCAAGTACCTTCTAAGAAGGTGTTTGGGGCGGGTTTAGAGGGTCTAACCACCTTCTGAGGAGGTACTTGGAGCCCTAGGGTATATATATATATACACCCAAACACTCCATGGGACTGGCATATTTACCGATCAGTTGGGCTGGTGCCAGGGGGGTCAATGGGACGGCATATATGGCAGTCCCATGGAGCCATGGAGTGTCTGGATATATATATATATATAGTTATATATAATTATCTTTCCCCAGTGTCGGGGATTCATGCAGTTAACATACAAATCACCCGATCGATATGAGTCATGCTCTGCAAAGGAACTTTTGTGATCAATGCAAATCATTGCCCTACCTTTTCTGAACGCTTGGGCCCTTGCAAGACATACAAAGGTGGCTGTGGTCACCAAACTCTCTCCAATATATTGAAATTGTTCACCTTGAGCACGTTTCTTTACGAACGAATTTCCGAAGACTGTTCCCGGAAATTAAGACGCTCTATTTTCTTTGGCCTGGTGCAAACTCCTATATGACAAAGGGATACAAAGGGTTTACAAAGGACTCCGCATACTAGTACCAACAAACAATGACTGAACTGAAACGCGAGGACCATTGAAAACATGATTGGAAATCCGTGATTCTATATTTGAATTATCTTGAACCTGGATTGACCAGCAAGAACTGCTTCTTTTCCTGGCTTTTGACCGGGTTTTCGCTTGGCACGCGGAGAAGTGAGACAAACTTGCAGCTTCTAGCAAACCAACCGCAAAAGGTGCATGTGTGAATCGTGTGCTCCTTGACTCGCGTGCGACTGGAAGATCAGCTATTCTTTTCTTCATTCATCTACACTCAGAGCTCCGATCTGCTAAGAAGCTCCAAGTACCTTCTCTACAGCCATTTGTAGCACCCCTTCGGGACGGGCGACTGTCATGTCACCATCTTGCAGCTTAGAAATGTGGTCGGGGCCAACGGCCAACACCAGGATTTCTCGGCTGCCCGACCTTTCCGAGATGATCACGTCCAGGTCCCCCAAGCCGTTGGCTGTGAGCTTCTTCACTCCTTGCGTGGGCGGGGGATCATGACATGGGAGGTGAAAAATGGATTTGGAACATCCTCCAGGGTGTCCCGCATCTGTCAACAAGAATGCTAGAACCGGCCCGGAACGTGTGCCTTGGAACTGGCACGGAGAATCACCGACCTTCTTTCGCTCTTTCAGCTACTTGAGAACACTCACGGGGACCTCTTTTCGCGAAGGCGAGCGCTGTCTCCCAGCGCTCTTCGGACTTCTCAAGCTGAGTTGAGGGATGACCGCCCCCCCTGCAAAGGACCACATGGAGCCCCTTTCAACCACGTCGGGTTGGTCTTCGGAACATGGTCGAAACCACCGGTCAATTCTGAGGTTCCATGTTAGTTTGCGTGGGGCTGCAAAAGTTCTACCAAACTGACTCAAGGAGGTTGGGCCCTCCCTGCTGGCTCCCGAACTGGACATGGAAAATACCAATTGAACGAACTCCATCTGTTGGGGAAGCCGATTCCCAAAAAAGATCGAAGCACTGAATTCATGCTTATCCACTGACTGGCAGTCGGCCTGAGAGTTTGAGTTTCCACTCTTCTTGGGGCATCCTGACTGGCGCCTGCTGCCCCAACCCTCCGCCAAGAGTCTCTGCCACTGCGCACAGGCTACTGGGTTTAATTCCTCCGGGGGGTCGAAGACGCGAAACGCAGGGGTGGAAGATCACCAGTTTGGATGACGGATGCTTGCTCAAACTGTCCATGTATGGCATGTATGCATCTACGGATGGTTTGTCCAAGGGGTCAACTCAATGTTGGTAGATAGCCTGTAGGGTTTGGATTGGGTTGATGTGCCTTTAAAAAACAAGATATATATATAGAGAAAACAAAACACACATAACTAGAAAAAACGTTGGGGTTGGCTTTAAGCATGATCCACGGAAAAAAAAAAAAAAAAAAAAACACACACACACACACGCAGCACTCCAAACACCCCTAACACAGAAAAGATGAGTTTTTTGAGCCCGCTGGCAATGCCGGTGGCGCAAATCTTCTGTGGACGACTACCTGCCGAAGAAGAATTTCCTAAATTACAAAATGTCTTCTGTGATAAGTTCTGTCAAACCACCCCAACAAAAACTCTACCATTGCGACGCCACCTACTTACTTCTGATGGGAGAAAATGACACATGGAGCCCAAACATGATCACTACCCTCCAACTGCCTCGTGAGGTTCAGTCTTTGGGGTGGGTGCCAGGAGGGTCCAATTCTGAAGAAGCACTTGGAGCCCCCAAAATCTCCTCAGAACTCTTGGCTCAAATCCCCAAGACTGTTTTTGACCAGTCCCTAACCACCACTTGGGATTTGAGCTGTTCGAGTTCTGAGATGTGGCTACTATCGCAGTCCACTCTCTCCCTGCCTGGGTCTCCAACAGGCAATCTCGGAGCCATCCACCAGTCACGTGGACCTTTGAACGTGCAAACGTGCAACAGGATCATCAGCGTCATGATCAGCGTCATGAGTGCCCAACTGCCCAGCCCACTGCTAGCTAGATTGGAAATTGGACCTGACAGGAGCACCAATCTTACGATCCTGGTGAGGACAGCGTCCTCTTTTGAAGTGAAAGCTTTTTGAAGTGCCTCACATGTTTCAAGAGCGCGTCCTCTGTTGGATGCAGAAGTCATAAATCTTTGGCGGAAAAGGGATGGACAATCACGGCAGGCCAACTGTTTCAACATGGGTCAGCCGCTAGACTTAAAGCATCCTCAACACAAACCTGACATCGCACAGAACCAAAAAGGAACGAGATGAGCACTGGCCCTGACCAAATGCAACAGTTAGCTTCAAATCTAGTCAATTTTATTGGCTTTGATGAAAAAGTGTATTATTGAGGTGATTCCTGAGAAGCACATTTATAGTGAGGAGTGTTTTTCACCAGTCACCGGAAGAAAGTGAGCAAAGTCCGAACATCGGAAACCGTAGTAAGAAACGACAAGCACGAACCACGGAAGCCACGGAAGAAACGACATGTCTGGTGAAGAACAAGACAGCCCTTTGATGCCCTGTGTGGTGAACTCGTGTGGGCCTTCCTTTCTTCGTCTTTTTCAAAGCCGGATGTGTTCATTCGGAACCGAGAAACCAAAAAAAAAGAAACACTGGAGGAGGATTCACCCAGTATGGCAGCTTAAGGAACACCTGAGGAGTTGGAGGACTTTCAGCCAGCCTTCGGAGTTTGGATCGTTTTGTGTGACCAAAGGAGCTCCAACAAGCGATCCTAGAGCTTCAAAGATTGCAGCCCCCCCAGACAGGCAGGGACTGCACATCAGAATCAAAATGATATACAGCTGCATGTAGCATGATCCAATCCAGCAACCTTCCTAAGTGATTTGTATGATGAGAAGAGTTACAGTGGGGTCTAGGGTTGTGCATAGCTGTGTCCTTTTAATGATTTTCCAGGAGTGTTGGGGTAATGGATGGCGCTTAGTCCGGCGTGCGCAGTCAAGGCGACCTGATACCGGCCTTGATCGTTGTCAAGGGGATCTTCGTTGGCCCGGAGAACGCTGCAAACCCGGGAGTGCTGTGCTTGAAGAAGCGCTGCGACGACCGGCAGTGATGGGTGCAAACACGGGTTAAGCAAGAAATTTGATAAAAACACCGGCAGTAACAGGTATAAACACAGTTTTTCCTGGATCCAAGCGCCAAAAGCAAGTGACAGGACTGACCATCAAACGTCTCAGGTCCAAGGGCTGCGCCTTAAAAAGGACTGCAAGAAGTATGGTTGGTATTTTGCTTGCCTGGTCTTGCAGTCTTGCATGAGTAATTACTTGTCTTGTCCTGAAAGCATTGAACGTATATACCAAGATCATATAACACGTCGCAAAATTGTATATACATTGACCAGGTTGTTTGCCACGGGGAGTTGATGCAGTCCCGGCGGTACTGCAGGGATTTCATTCACAGCTACCTTGCATATATTTTTACGTTGGAAACATGCATTGACACCAGCATTGAATTTGAATAGGCTGCATGTTTACGCTCTATAGGGCTGACAGCTTAAGAACCAAGTGAGAGGCAAACAAGGTGGTTAAACGATGTAAAGCGTTGTTTAGAATTACGACCCCCCACGGCTCAGTGTCGGCCAAATGATATCAAACTACTCTCCCTGGATTAACATGGAAGCGGAGAATGGCCCCTTGGAAGACCATTTTCCACTACAAACAGGTGGTTTTCCACTTCTATTTCCAAAACAAATGTGTTCCAGCAGCCACGAAGCAGTACGAGTTCGGCAAGGCAAAGGACCTCAGGAAGGGTTCATAATCGTTGCAAGGTTGTGGGCACCAGCAGCTTGCAAAACCATAGCTGCATCTAGAGAGGAAGGTGTGTTTGCAAACGCCTGCAGCGGCCTGCAGCAACTGCAAGCAATTGCCGATGTCCCTTCTGCAAAAACGGCTGCTTGACGCGCTGCAGGGTCTTCAATGCATGGTGCGACATTCTCGCAGCGCACCGGTCCGTGCGAGCAGTCATCTCATCCGGAACGCGTCTCGATGGAGGCGCCACGTGGCAATAGTCATCCACACAAATGTATTCCAACTTCCCACCGGTAGGTGCAACGGGTGCCTTGTGACTTCTCCCGGGTCAAGGTGCCGTTCTGATTGTTTTGCCTTGGGGGCACACAAGGATAGCACAAACAACGCCTTGTATGTTCCTGGCACCGGCTGCAGTCCAGGGCGATGGCATCGCGATTTGCGGTCGTGTCCGGTCTGAGGTTCACTACACAACTGTGACCTGTACCTGGACCTTTCAAACTCCGCCTTCTCTTTGACAGTGCCTTCAGAAAGGAAGGGCTGCAGCTCAAACAAGCAAGCAGGCAGTTCGCAGTTAAGGAGTGTTTTGCCTCCTCTTCCTCCTGGCAGTGCACTGCGTTCTTCCTCGCTCGCCCATTTTTGTTAGATGGCGCCATCTGAGGACTCACAGCCCGTCGTTAGGCGCCAACGCGCCAGGCGTCTCTCTATGGCAACGATGACGAGGCCAGACTCGCATGCACCTGTTGTCACTTCTGGGTTGATCCAGCGGATGCCCTTCCAAGCTGGCCTCGAATGGCTGAAGGGGTGCTATCGCTGCTCTCTGAATTCCAAGGTAATCAATTTGCTCATCAATCCATGCATCACCAGCATCATCAACTCTCCCAAGGCATCCCCAAAACACACCACCGGCGACACAGTGGTTCTAAGCGGTGGTTTATATGGGCCCCCATCTAAATGACATCTTGGGGGTTGTGCCATCTACTCTGAAACCACTGCAATTGGACGCACGCAACTCTTTGCTCTCTCTGGGTCCACCCTTCCAACAACCACTCCCCACGCAACCACCTCCCACCCCATACAGACCTTCAGCCCAGCCTTCCCTGACATACATCATGCCATCAGCAAAAACAAGGCTTGGACTTGTGATCTCCAAGAATTAGACATCCACAAGACATGATCCCGGTGGATCCTCTGCCCAACACCCTTTAAAGGGGCAACTACGACTGGGAGAAGGTGATCATTCTCCAAAAACCTCTCGAACAGGCTCTTATGTGTCTTCCTCTTGAAAGCAGTAGGGTATAGCTCAACATGATGTTTGATTTTCTCACATCACCTGATATTGCCTTCACGTGATGTTTCAGGGAATTACCTGTTTGAAAGCTACCACCTCCATCGATGTCTTCCAACAAAGCGCTCATTCTGGTGCTGAAAAATCGCCGCGTTCTCCACTGTTCTCACTCCTTTTTCCACAGGGAACCGAAACTCTCTGAACACCTTCGCCAGGGGGGCCGTCGAGAGGTTCTGCAGCAGTTCCAACACGCCGGTGGCCTTTGCCGCCCCGGAAAGGCAAAGGTTCTGCAGGGCTGGGGGCTGAAGTGGCTGAAGACCAACTTGGGTTGTGTGATTCGGCTCCCAAATACTAAAACAGGTTGGGGCACAGTGAATACTCCATGTCTCCACATATGGCATGCTGTGTCCATCATGTTTCCTCTTGCAAGGTCCACTTCTTGGTCTTGGGGAAAAGGCCGTTGTCACCCGTTTTGGATCCCTCCCTTGATGGAATGAAAAGCCAAACCGAATCCAAGGTAACCCTTTTCTTCCTTGGTCACCCCGATTTTGGGCAATACATCCAGGGGAAAGGCAGTGAGGAGAGCCAGTATTAAATAGCCAATCCGGCGTCCCACATCCATAAAAGAAAGAGTTGGTCCTGGTCCTGTTTGCCAGGACCACTATGTCTCTGAGTCAAGGAAACTAACTGGGTTCCGGGACGCTGGGAAAGCTTCCTTCACCAATTGGAAAATTGGTTGGAGAGTGATTGTTTTTCATGTGGGAAGGTGCTTCTACCCCGTTGAATGTGAGCGGTTCGACATCTGGACTCCAAACACTCTAAACTTTTCTAACATGGAATTCTATATCCCAGACACTCCACGGGACTTGGATTCTATGCCTACATTGGCCCCCCAGAAGCCACCTGCGACAGGCGTACCCGCCTGCCCCCAGAAGCATCGCGGCAAGGTCTTCAGCATCGCAGCCCATCGAGCGAAGACGGGTCTTCGCGCGTCACGCGTCACACACGTTTGCTGCGCAGCTTTTCGTGGAGTTTTTCCTTAATCCGGACTTTTTGTTCAAACGTGACACGGATCCACAACCCTCAGAGATACCGATATACCAAACACAAATGGCTGGCGCCATGACTTCCAAAAAACTCCGATTTTTTGTGTGTTGATGTGGTGGAAGAACTGTGGAAAACCTCGGTTTGGAAGCTCGGAGCTGAACGTGTCCCTGCGCGACGGGAAAATGTGAGACGTGCCTGTAAAAAGGATGGTGTACGAAGAATCCACCGGCGCAGCACATTCCGGAATTCTGTATAAGGAAGAAATAAGGGAAACACCTCTCATACACCTATACTTTTTGGAGGTGAACACTCTGATCCTTTTCCATGATGCTCTTCTCACTTTTTCGCTTATCTCGCGGAAGAAACGGAGCCTTCCGTGGAGTGACCGGCGCCGGTTCGTCGGCGTGCGTTCGACCGGAGGTCCAGTGAATGAAAGACCAACAGCGACTTCCTCGACCAATGCAAGAAGGAGGTAGATGGACCTTAAAAGGAAGGTATATCATATGAGCCTGGGATGGTGGATGTTGGCAAAAATGGATGACCTGCTGGCGGGGAGCCGGGGGGAGTGAAGGGATTTGCTGTGGTGAGACTTGCGGCGTGAAAAGGCGTGAAGCGCGGCGTGAAGCGTGGGCGAAGGGCTGAGACAAGAAGAAGGGCCCCGTGATGAAGTGCAAATACGGATCATCTTAATAAGCAGTCTAGTATGCGCTGAAGCAACTAATCAAATGGCAATAAGTCAAAAAATATCAAAAAATGAACATAAACATGCATCAAATCATACATCAATTCCATACTGGAAATAGAATCTGGAGCATTCCCCCATAAATCTATGAGACTGTGACTGTTACACGCCACAATAGAAGCCTGTCTGAGAAAGTCCCCAGTGCTCGACCAGCCAAGCGGGCAATGCCTGTCTAAGAAGGATTCAACCAGCGTTTCGGATGGGTGAACTGCAGGACCCTTCAAAGCAGGCATTGAATAGTCCGAGACACTCCATATATGGAAAATATGCCTACATTGGGGTGCTTTGGGGGGGTCAATGTAGGCATGGCATACATGGAGTGTCTGGGAGTTGTGAATCCAAAAAGGGAATTACACTCCCTCAAACTAACATGGAAGAGCCTGCTTATCATTATCTGGCAGAACCCGCTTGCAATATGTACAGTATATCGTATCACTAGGGCCCAGTGGATGATGATGGTTGGGTTGCAGGCCTCCAAAAAGATCAAAAATGTATAGAGTATCCCATACCTTCTTCCAAAAGTCCCAATCAAAGGAGCTGAGCCATCACAGAATCCACAGATACTTATATACTGTATACTCAGTCCGATGCCCTAAACTATCTCCGGATCGAAACTATGAAGAATGAAACCTCCAATGCCGCAAAGATTCCCTACAGCTCAGTGAGTAGTGTTTCTGCATCATCAACTCCAGTAAAATGAGGTCTTTCACCTGTGTGGATTCTTCTGCCCAGAGTGAAGAACCACCCAACCCAAGTCTCCGAAGATCGCAGTACAACACCTGGTAAGTTCTGAAAGAATCATGGAAGTGGAACTCCCAAGTCTCTGAGACTTCCTTTGGTTCCACCATGTTCCCTGAGTACGAGGGACCTGGCCAACTGTCCAGATTCTGGGAGAGAGGATGAGGGAGGGGTCTCTCACAACCCGAACTCTTCCGGGTCGACTCGAAACATCGAGAATCTGGTCAACTGGAACCGCTTTCGGTTCCCACATGCATGCCAGCATGCCCGAAACATGGCCAGCAAAATGGGCTTCGTCGCAGGGACTTATTTAGAATATACCAGGGGCCCCACAAACCATCAAAACCCTGGTTTTCACTATCAAACAAACTGGCTTTGGTATGTGAAAACCTCTATTATTCATGGTTCTAAGGGCGCCTGGCAATTAGAATATCAAACCATATCAAACCCAATCAAGTAAGGCTAAACATGAGAACAACAATCCGCAACCACTGCAACCACCAACTATCAATCTCCCAAAACGGGTGCCGAACGTCCGCCTCACCCTACTTCGCCTCACGACCCTCCAAATCGCAGGCGAGCGGAGCGCACCAATCTCATCGTCCTCCTCATCCACAGTACCAAGTGGCTCCTGACTCTCCACCAGCCCTCCACAGCTGCATGGCAACATATATATGCTTTGGTAAACATGCGAAATCAAAGCACCAACACCTCTCCTCACCGGAATCCTCACCCACCCTCACCTGTCATGGTCTGGACACCTGGACACCGAAACACCGGTGAATGACCGGAATCGACCGGTCACCCGCCCGGGGAGTCTCACGTGCGGAGCGTTCTGCATGTGTCTTCATCTGAGCTTGTTCTATAAAAAGGCACATATAAAGCAATCAATCGGCACGTCATTGCTTTGTTTCAGGTTTTGAAAATCTATGCAAAAGGAACTCGTCTTGCTAGATAGAACTTTTGTTTCATCACGTGCGTGCTTCATGTGCTTGTACATGCTTGTGCCAAATATGTGCTGTTTAAAATGAAATCTCTAAAGTAATTAGTTTAGTTAACTACATTCAGCAGTAGTCACCTGATTTGTGGGTTGGCTGTGGCAGGATCTGTATTTGGTTCCGATCCTTCTCCTCGCACATTTGGATCCACGAGGTGATGGCATCGTTGGTAAGATGTTTTAACCTTCCTGACAAACTCTTGGCTCAACTCAAATCCCTCTAAGAGAGTTCTTGGCCAATCCCTGCATTCAACAGGAAAAACACTTGGGGATTGCTTCGCAGTACCATGCCGTACCGAGTGCAGGAAAACCAAAGCGTTTGCGTCCACACGGACCCATCAACTGCAAGGACAATCGCACAGAAACACATAATAATATCATCTGTCTATGAATATAATATCTACGTATAATAGCAACGAACATACGGTTTACAAATGATTTTTGCACACAACGCCCAAAACTGCACCTTCGTCTCTCCCCTAATTCACCTCAAAATGGCCTCACCTTAAGCAATGAAGTCCACATTGTTTTGTGTGGTTTTGTTTGTTCTCAAAAACGGGTTGTGAGAAGATTTTAGGCTTACACTTTCCTTAACCACCGTGGGATCTGGTGATTTACGAGGCCAAACCAACATGGAAACCTGCAAGGAGCCTATTACCGGGGAACACCGCGTAAGTTGGTTTGAACCACAAGGTCCTTAAAAGACACTAACGTGGAAACATTTTGGTCAGGGGGGGGGGGTCATGAACCTGTATTTCTCTAGGAAAACCTAAGGTAGCTGGAAGAATTGGTCAATGCACTGGTTTCTAGGTTAGCGTCTTCAAGCTATTTTCAAGAAAAAATGTTCATCCTGAGAGCTGCCAGGTTAGCGCAACCTGAGGCAACTTGAGTAATTGGTCACTTCACTGGTTTCTAGGTTAGCGTGTTTCTAGGTTTGGGAGCTCCTGCGTAGTGTGCCCAGCCCCTGACAGCCATCGGTAACCGGTAACCATATTGGTCACTGTATTGAATCTAGACCTGTCCAATGGCAAGGTGGGCCGACCATTAAAGAATGGGAGTGAACTCCACAAGTCCAGAGCTCACTAACATGGAAATAATCTAAAATGGAGCTCTCAGCTTCTACCATGACAAAAACAAGTCCAGGGCTCACTAACATGGAAACTCGACAAACAACAACTCACAAAGAAACTGACAGCCCGTGCAACGACAATTCGGGACAGGTCCACTAACGTGAAAAAATAAAAAAACAATCCATTTGCTGTTTCTACGGTGGTTGAGGGGAGAGTAACCAGGTGCTAAAAATGATGTCCGCCCCTGAAAACATCCCCCGACATGTCTTGAAACTACGCCCAGCAGCTGCGCTCTTAGACTGGACTGACATGGACTGACCCTCTGCTCTGATCAAACGATCTGATCTCCTTGTTCAACAAACTGTCCCTCTCCAAAATCTCCATCACCCGACCTCAGCGCATTCGTGGGCGACGTGGGCAACTTCGTGACTTCTGATTCGTGCAACAGATCGAACTTGTGAATGGCAGGTGACGGCAGGAAACTGTCTGAACATTGCATGAAACCCGTGTTTTTGCAGCAATATAGGTGTCATGAACAACCAAGTGTGCGAGTTTGTGGGGGTGATTAACAGCTGATCGACCAATGAACCCATATCATCCCCACAGGAAAAATCAGGCAACATCTCACAACATGGCCGTTACCGGAACTCAGAACTCCCTGCTCCAACTGCACACCGTAACTTGAAACGACGCGTTCGTTTCACGAGGAGGATCACCCCTACACACCGGGGATCGGATTTGGTGGGATTCCAACCATTGTTTTAGTGGTTTCTACATAAACCCTTTTCCAGGGTCGTGGGGAAGCACCTGGAAGTCTGTGGCCTAATGTCAACCTAGGATATGTAACCCCCTATTAATCAAACCCAATACAAAAGGAATGTCAAATCTGAGTTCCACATTTCCATCCATGTACGGGGCTAATTTGCCAACTGGAGTATATTCTTTTGAATTAAAACATCCATTGTTCCACAATCCCTCAAAACTCTCTAGCAAAAATCTTTCATCTTCCCCGACTCTAACTTTATCAAAACCTTCAGGTTTTTAAGCTCACCAGGGGTACGTCTTACACAGGCCTCATGGCTCACACAGAATCCTAACAACCATCATCCATCATCAGGTTATAACCTTTGTTGGGGGGATCTGGTCTCCAAAACCTCCAATCTCACACCTTGCTGACCTTGAACGAGGGTTGATTAATCCTACGTCGACATAAATGACTTTTTCCAGGGTCGGGAACAGCAATCGGAAGTCTGTAGTTCAATTGCTTTTTCCAGGGTCGGGAAAAGGCAATCGGCCCATTTGCTTTTTCCAGGCTCGGGAAAAAGCAATTGGAAGTCTGTAGCCCAATTGTTTTTTCCACGGTCGGGAAAAAGCAATCGGAAGCCTGTGACCCAATTGCCTTTTTCAGGCACGGGAAAAAGCAATCGGAAGTCTGTGGCCCATTCGCTTTTTTCAGGCTCGGAAAAGCACTCGGAAGTCTGTAGCCCAATTGCTTTTTGCAGGGTCGGGACAAAGAACTCGGAAGTCAGCAGGGGCCAAAGCGTGTTGCTTCTTGGCCCCCCACTGCGCCCTTCTGTGACAAGCAATTGCCTTGCCTGCTTCCGAAAATCATGCCCCCACGCTGACTCTAAAGCTTGGGGGCTGCCGCTTCCGCGTTTGATCTTCAAATCAGAGCGGCGCAGCACCCATCACCGACGGCAGGCTTTGTGCGATCCACACCGCCACGACCTGTCCGACACCTCCTCCTTTTTCACTTTCGGGTATATTATGAGCGTTGTACCTTCCCTCGCCGCGGGCGCTGGTTATCCTCGATCCTCCTCAACGCTGGCTGTCCTCCTCCTCAACCTCCCGAACCTCGTGACCATCACGCGCCAGACGCTCTTGCAGCAGTGGTATTTCAAGATTGCCAGTATCATTTCACAAGTCGGAGGCGCCGGGCCAACCATGAAGGCGCCAACAAGCGGCAGAACTGCAGGTATGCGGAGGATGCATGGCAGATGGTAGCAACGTAACAAACATTGAGGGCTGCAGATAGGACGGAAAAAGCATTTCTTCGGACACCAACCCAGTTCCGCCAAAGAAGGTTTTCAGACAAGCCCATTGCAGTCAGGCCTCACGTGCCTGAGAGAGGGCCCCGTTGACCAAAGAACCGTAAAGCAAAATTGAAATGAGACAATGCTGGAATGCACCTAGCCGAGGTGGTCACAGTCGCATCTCTCCACCCTTCCAACCATCCCGCACAGCAGTCACTCCAAGGCCAGCGGAAGTTGAGGGCGATGTTGAAATCAAACGGATCAGAAGCCACTTTGAATGTTGTTGCTCAACATGTGTCATGTGTCTCCGGTTCGGAACCACAAAGTTGAGTGATCGCTGGTGCTGTGGTAGCCAACCTGTGTCTTTAAGACCTGGCTGGAACCTGAGGAAACAAAATGAAGCTGGGCGTGAGTTGCCTTGAGGGATTCGAGTATGTTCGGAAAAGTTGGCTGCTACTGGCGCACCAAATCCTGACTTCGACTTGACACCAACCATCGGAGAGATCCCAGTCACGAGATCTTTCTCTCTTTTGTAAGAGCTGGCCCTGGCTGAAGAAGAATTCTGTTTCTCCTTCTTTCTGGAGTGGAGGTAGCCAATGGACCGAGCCAGAGCCGACCAATACTGCCCAAGAACCCTTGGATAGGGTAGGCAGGCAGTGTTTTGCAACATCGTCTTTCGCGTCCACAATGCATGCCTTGAGCGATTCTTGCGCAAGTTTCTCTCACAAAAGGACTTTGTCAGGGCCGGGAAAGGCAATCGGAAGTCTGTAGCCCAAGCCTGACTGCTTGTCCAGGGTCTGCCAGGTCCCCAACTTTTCTTCCGCAGACCTTTCGCAGGACCTTCACAAACCCTTCGCGATTGCAGTGGGAGCACACTCAAAATCACTCAAAAGAAAATGTTTAATGTTTACCAATAGAATAGACATGGATTTTTGAACGACACTCATATACCTAAACTTGAGCAAATAATCATGTAAGTATACCAGGTATGAATGTATTCACCAACCATTCATGTATCATCCTTCATGTATATCTATAGGTGAATAGCTACACACATCGAACTCCCCATCAAACTCAATCCCACGCAGACCTACGTCTGGCACCACCGACGAACCGACGGTCAGAAGCGGTCAGACCATCGAGTCTCAGCCAAGGCGCTGTGTTTCAGATCAAAGTCGTCCAACAATCGGCCCTGAGGACGCTCCGGCTCCTCCAGCTGTTCCGTGCCCTGAGGAAGGCTGGGGGGTTCGGGTAGCGTCGCGTTTTTTTGTTCGCGCGTAGGCATGCGAAGCACGAACGTAGAGTGGTATACCTCACCAAGGACACCCACACAAGAAAGACATGCTTTTTGGGATGGTTGTGTCATGTTTTCGAGTGAGATTTGAGTGCGTGAAAGCTAGGTTGGTCATGAGAAACCTGCTCTCCAAGGCTGTTATGTAGATAGGTTCTGCAGGGCGAAACCGTTTTGGGATGGGGAAATCTCACAGGTCCTGTCCATAGGATGAAGGAACAAAACACCGAAACCATAGATATATCTACAAAAAACATCATATGGTCGGATTTGCCTCTAAAAAACTTGACAAATATTCTCCAGAAGATTATTTTGCCCAGGGGAGAAAACCGCCTTAAGCAAAACCCGGCATATCTTTGGACCTCTCTCTCCGAGGAGCCTAGGGGCTTTCATGAAACATTGGGGTTGGTGGGTAGTCCAACACGGAAAGTCACTCAAGTTCAAAGCCGACCCAAACCTCTGCATCCCGCCCTCTGCATGCTCTGCCGACCTATTTCGACCCAAACCCGGTGGGGAGGCCGGAGAAACCCCAGTGAGGGTACTTTGTGGGCTGATGTTTTCCAACCCTTCTTACGTCACTTCCTGGCGTGGCTTCACATCTGGGATATAACCCATAGACTCCATGGGACTGCCATATATGCCTACATTGACCCTCTAAACCACTTCAGTGTATAGGCATATATGGCATACACGGGCACACATGGAGTCTATGGGTAATGATAGGCCCCAAAGAAACCAACAGTAGTTGGAGTTCTCTGCAGAACCTCGCTTTCGGCATTTTCTTGTAGGTCATCTCTCTTAAAATGAAAGCAAGATCCCCCGGGTTCACTCTCTACCTGAGGTCCCCCATAAACCCAGGCTTGACTCGCCCAGTTGACTTGCAAAAAGAGGCAACAAAACACCTCATTTCTCTACAGAATCAGTGCCTGGCAGTGCCCGAGCTCGGAAGTTGGAGGTCCAGGTCCACCGGGCTAAAGCCAGGCGACGTGCACGTGCACCTGTGGAATGCTATCGTCCACCGGATCGGAGGCCACGAAGTCCTCCCGCAGGGGCATGGGGCACGGGGGGGAGGGCCTTGGGCGTTCGTAGCGATGCCAGGAGCCCCGGCATCGTAGCGAACCTGGTTCCTATCGAAAACATACATGTTGTTCGACCCAACTTGGGTTGTTCAAGGCTGTTCATGGTTGAGAGAAGTGTCGTGTTTGCTCATGAATTTCAGCTTCGTGATGGTTCGTGTATGTGTGCCGGACTCATAGCGCATATCAAACACAGTTTGTCACGCAATTCCGTTTTTTGGTCAAATTTTGGTGTGGAACTTTTTGGTGGGGCCTCGTTTCCTCCGGATATGTCCATAGGTGGTCTACACTGACCACAATGCTTTGCCATGAACGTTGGAACCAAGTCCCATTTTGCAAAAATGGCTCGCTGGCTTATAGCAAAAAAAACGTGGGCTACAGTAGGAGGCCCAAACATGCCCAAACGACATGAGGTCAATCCCACAATATCCAATGAATTTAAGAAAATTTTGCCACAAACTCAGCAAAAACATGCAAAAGCCAGTTCTTCACTTCACTTCGCAGGCCGATCCAGGCCAAGAGTTCCGTCCTCCACCAGCTTACGACAGGCCTGCTGCACAAAAAGCACTGGGTCCTGGACCGCCATGCGATGTTGGATTCATATCTGCTACTACTACTACTACCACTACCACTACCACTACTACTACTACTACTACTGTGATGCTTGCTGCTGGGAGCAAGGAATAGTGTGGCCTAACCTGCACCTACTGCTCTCTGGAGCCTTGCAAAAACGCATGGTCGACAGTGTAATTAAAGAGGTGTGTCTTCCGGAAGTGCTCATAGCTTCTTCACCACTTGCCAACCGAACCTGGTGACATGGACTTAGGCTCCGCAACCCGTGTTGGTCAACCAGTCTTCAGCGCTCGCACAAACTCCACAACCAAAATAGAAACTTCAACTGTCTTGAATTCCCTTCCCCAAATCCTGCTCCACAAAAACGGAGCCTTCCACCAGCAAAACAAGTCTCTTCATTCTCGCAGTGCTGAAGCATGCCAATAGTTCATTACTGTAGACTAGAAGCCATGCAACAAATATGCAAGGTCTTCAATCGCCCCTTTCTCCGATTTCTATCAACGAACACCCCTTCCACATCCCGCGTTCCTGGTGCCAATAGGGCGGCCACCGTTGTGGGAATAATAGAGGGGTCGAGCTTGAGGTGCCATATACCGGGAGAGTATTAGATCTATATAGATCCATGAATCAACCAGCCAATCAAAGGCCATCTATCAAAGGTCTATCCTATTACCTGGGTCCAATGGATGATGATTGATGATGCTTCAGTATGGTTCAATTAGTTGCAGGCCTTTCCATATATCTCTAGAAACCTGCTCGTTCGACGCCTCGTTCCACGCCGCGGCTCCCTCCGTGGGCGCCTCGAGGCTCCCAGTCGCTGCGCCCGGGTCGCTGCGGGAGCCCTTGCGTGACAAGGCCTTGCCACGTTCCTCGGGCCTCGGGCGGACTCGTGTAGCTGCCCGGTGCTACAGTGAAGGATCTTCACGACCAGGGGCCTTGACAAAGCACGACCAGGTTTTGATATGCATATGATGAGATGGGAAACCCTCTACCTGGACCCCTCGGGGTAACATCACAAACGGAGGGTCCTGGCATTTTTCATGGGCCGCTGGTAGAACGGGTTTCTCGCAGCGAAAATCAAAACTCACAGTACAGGTTTGTGCTTTGGTGTAGAGTGTAGATGTTCCCTTAAAGCAATTCTGGTAGTTTCTGATCTAGGAACATCCCAGGATTTGGGGGATGAAAGGAATTGGACGTGGTGAAAGATGGTGAAAGGTTTTTCAGCGCCTTTCATCATCCTTGTTCCCTTCCAGCCTTTGATCATGGTCAGTCTTTAAGACACCTGTTGGGATTGGGTCGCTTGCTGCACAAGGTCGAGGATAGTTTCTAGGATGTATCCATCAGCCAGAAAACCTTCACATTCTTGCAATATGTAGGGACCCATAATCAAGAAAATCCACCTTGTAGAACTTAACCTGGAGAGGATCTGTGCTTGAGACATTGCAACTGGTCTTGACCTCAAGCACTGTCACTGCTTCCAAAACCCTAATTACCTGGAAAAACATAACCATTAAAAAAACAACTTGAAACACTCTCAGAGCATTTCACGTTTTGCCAAACACCCCAACGCAACTTGCCAAACACCCCATGATGTGCATCCAGGTCACGTAATGACTCGGTCCTGGACGGGAAATCGTACTTCCACCCCCGCACAAACAACAGGTCACATGGACCTGTCTCAATTTCTTAAGATCGAGGTTTGGCTTGCCTATGCTTGCCTGCTCCCCTCCAGCCAGAAATTTTGGGGAACAATCCCTTCTTACATCGTGGGAAAAGAAAAGGTGAGCATGGTCATGGTGATGTTTTTCTGACTGGGGTAGGTCCTAGTCTGGCTGGAGTCTGTCACTGTCTTCGACCACCTGAAAAGGAGTGACATGGGTCACAGGGGAGCCGGGTGGACCACTGAAGATGAAGCGAATGGATTGACGTTTTTTGTTCCTACAGTCATATAGGATATAAATGAGATAGGGAGATCATGAGAGATTGATTTAGAGATTCCAAGTTTTATGCCAGGTGACGGATTTTCGGTACTACAGACTCAATCCTCTGGTGCACTCTTCGTCCAAGGAGTTGGGGGCACATGTCGTGCGAAGGAGACAGTTTTGGGGTACCGCAACGTGCGCTAAAAGGCTGGCAAGTTTCGGAGAAAAACAACATGTGTTTCTGTCCATATTTTGTTCCTACATGTTCCTACCTATATGGCATAAAGACACTCCCCCAAGAGAGACTTGTCCCAGGCGAACTCCTGGCCGTCGCTCCACCGCGAACCCCCCTCCAAGACTCCCAGCGAAAGCTACCGCGGGAAGCGGCATCACAGCAAATCTTTTCTGGATCTAACTTACCGTCTACAATCCCGCTCCGTTACGCTCCGTTCGCAGCCCGGTCCCTCAAAACGGGATTTGAGACCACAGACCTTTTGAGAGGATTCGGGCCCAGGGTCGCGTCTGGGCCATGGAATTCTGCAGATTCTCCAAGAATTGATACCATTTCCATCCCCCCGGTCCGTGGCGGTGCGCGCGCGATAGCGCACGGGCTGCAGCCAGCAGCGGAGGTCCCAGTCGTCCTTGGATGAGCTCTGAAAAAAGGGCTTCGACGTCGAGACAGCACCATCAACGGAGTTGTTTTGGGGGGGAATGTTGTGAATCCAGATAATAATACCTATAATACCTATGGAAATAGAATGACATGGTGGAATCGTGGAACAAATTGCAATTCCCAGCTCCATTGCCCTTGCCCAGATTGGGTATGGGAGTTTCCTCTAAACATCTCACCTTCCAGAGTGCAGCCCCTCCAAGATTTTACCCTTACACCCCATTCTGATGTCAACCCCCCCTGGAATCATTTCCACACACCTGTCATTTCCACATATCTCATCACATTACCATTCCAGGCACCACTACCCATGAAAGATCCCATGTCCATTTCCCAGACTGGGCATTATTGAATATTCTTGGGGTTCCTGTAAAAAACATTTAAGAACATCTAAAGATCTACCACCACTCCCCTACCCTCAAAGAACATCAAAAAAACACCCCAATTCTGATGTCAACCCCCCCTGGAATCATTTCCACACCAGTCATTTCCATATAAAATCGCATTACTCACCACATTCTTAGACACCCAGTGGGAAAACATTGGACACCGATAATAATACCTAAACATAATAATACCAATAATACTTTGGGTACAGAGTTCAGATGTCAGGAAATGTCAGCAGATTTCAGGAAATGATTCTGACTAAGGGGTGCCCTGTCTGGAAGCCTATAGGTAGTGTGGGGTAATCCATTGGACACCCCGACAGGAGGGTCCTGGTAGTAATTCATGTTACATTAATTAAGTTTTACATGACCAAATCAGCGCCCGGTGTCAAGACCAGTGCCGCCGAGATCATTCCGACTGATGCACCAGTGGACATGATTGGTTCGTTTGGGGCGCAACTATCACTAAATTTTTTAAATGCATGTTGTGGAAATCCACGTGCTTCAGGATAAAATCCCTTCCTGACAGGCTCAAACATTGATGCAGGACTTCTGTTTTTTCAGCATCTAGCTTCATGGGTCTTTCCCTTGGGCCGGGAGTCTTCGTGTACTCGCTGGTTCAATCCCGGACGACCAATGATACAAACGAGTTTTGCCCGCTGCGTGAATTGAACAGTATTTGCTTGGTTTTGCGCCAAGATGCGCCCAAGTTTAATGGACCGTTGTGTGGTTGCAGGTGTCGTTTTTGTTGGTTTGGTGCACTTTCTCAGAACACATGCGCCCTCCTAAAGTGATCTACAGTACGCTTCTTTGGACCGTGACTCAAGTGAAGTGTCCAAACCGACCAGGAAATGGGGACTCACTTGGTTTCAAGCAGGGGCGTGGAAGAAGCGGAGGAGGGTTGGAACCTGTTCACTCCTGCTCACTCCCGCCGTAAGACATACGTTCCAGTTGTGACTCATGTTCCTTGGCACCCTCAAGTTGCCACTACTGCATGATGTCACTCTCTTGGTGTTTGAGTGGATGGCATGCCCACGGAACAAACCATTCCGGCGGATCTTCGCATATAGCTTCCGGTGAGGAGTAGTACCATGGTAATGCACATGCTACTTCAAGGAGTACCTTGCGGGGGACCATTTTTTAATGGAATTCCCAGAAAAGAAGCTGGTCCACCATGGCTGGTTGAAGAAGCTGGCCTCTCTTGCTTTGAGGCCGGACAACGCTGACGCTTCTTCCAGGTGTGACTGGGATTGATCATGATCTCAACTCCACATGTTCGAAACCGAAATGCCTTCAAAAAAGCCTGTAAACTATGCAACCGTCCGTTGTTCTCCACTCGCCCTCCTTTGTGGGGCACGCTGGAAATTTCGTAGCTGCTATCGGGGAACGACCTCGCCGGATGCTACCGAGGAGCTGGACGGAGATCCCAGTCCTCATCCGACATGAACCTCGGCCGGGCCATGAAACTCAGTCGAAACCTGGTATCACTCATCACCAGCAGAGGTTGAAGAACCCTATAGACTATAGACTATCCTATAGGTACCCCTGGTGACGGGTCCTAGTTCAGGTCACTTAACCTCTGTAGGCAGTTCGCACAAGCAAATTTGACATCAACATGATTTTTTCGCCCTGGCGGATGAATTAATTTGGGGCAGGACAAGTCATGGTTTTCTGTGAGCGCCCCTCATGGCTTTGGAGTGTCTGGATTCTCAGAGGATCAATGACCACTGACCCAACCTCCCCATATGAAGGGTGTTATTACTCAGTCTCCAATTACCAACTGGGTGGCTCTGTCTCGCATGAGTGTAGCAACAAATTCATCTGACAGGCTGCCTCCATCGTCATAGAAAAACAACGGAAAGGAAAACAACAACAACAACAACAACAGCAACAGCAACAGCAACAGCAGCAGCAGCAGCAGCAGCAACAACGGCAACAACAGCAACAACAACAACCACAACCACAACCACAACAACAACAACAACCAGCCTAAGACCAGCGTAAGCCGGACCTTCCCTTTCGTGCCAAATACCTGACGGGCCGTGGAAAGGCATCGCCTGCCCCTCCCGCCGGTGGCGACGCCGAGGGGCTGTTGCCGCATATGCGGCGAGAGCACCGACAGCTGACGGATCTGCGCGTGTGCAGAAGTCGAGCGGGGAAGGACTTCGGCCACAGGCTTCTGCCGCAACCCGAAGACTAAGAGGGAGTTGGTGATGGGTCAAATCGGAGGACCGCGATTTAGGAGGGAGGTAGTTTTGACCCACACTCTGATGAAGATTAGCCTATGGGTGGATGACTTTGGCCAGTCTCAGAGCAAGGAATTCTTCAGGGTATAGAGGATTCTACTGTATACATTCCTTTACAGCATGAAGTTTCTGCAGGACATGAACAAAGTCGCTTCGCCATCAAAAGCCGTCTTGCCATGTTTAACTCTAGGGTCTCTGGGGTATGCTCTTGAAGGTACCTGGAGTGTGTTTCTGTGTGTTAATGCCAAGCCCGCAAATTGAACTACAGTAGATGACTTACCATGTTGACCCACTGCAAGCTTCTCACATCATGCAAAAAGCATGCAATTGCAGCGGCCCCATCAGGCTTCAGCAGTTGCTGGCCGTTTTCAATTGTATAACTATGTAAGAGACCCACATGGTTTGTGGAGGATGCTAGTTTTCCTTGCCGGTCCATTCTGAGGTTCTTCCATGTTCATCTTCTCGGGTGTATAACATGCATTGCCGCACAGCAACACTCATGACCCTGATTCTTGATCATCGCAGTGATCACCAAAGGCCGCATCTACATGGCCAAAACCACCCGCCAAGCCAGGTACCACAATACAATTCATCCATTTCCAAAAACTCTCAATAACACCTCTGACGCATCGGAAGCTGTGGCTTGATGGCATCCTGCCCTCCTGATCTGCCTGTGAGCCTGGAGTCTGCTTTGTGGTCTGCCCCATCCGGTCCGCTGTGTGCGTGCCAGCAACCCATGCAAGAAGGGCAGCCCTGATGGGTCAGCACAAGGTGCAGGCCTGACCCATTGGTCCAGAATCTGTCCAATTCAATTGACCTAAGGATGACTTTATACCATGCACTAAACCATATGCACCACCTCCAAAAACTCACATCAAAATCCGAGCTTCACTATCTGAACACCTGATCCGGGCTTGTCAAAAGCTGAAGCCCCTAATGTTACTATCACTTATCCCTGGACAATAAAGGCTGCGTAATCTTGTCCACCTATTGGATTCTGGGAAATCAATCACCAAAACCACATGTCCTGGAGGTGATCCACTCTTTTTGGACTAAGGAAACCGTAAGAAACACCGTTAGTTTCATGCTCCTGGTACCCACCCCCACCCCTCAACCGCCCGCCTTCCGAGAGGCTCCAGACACCCGGCGCCGGCGGCTGCGCCGGAAGTGGCCCGGGTCCGGAGTGAAGCGACTGAGCCGTGGCGACGGTCTGCCGGACGTGACCCCCGAAACGGAAGACGTAGATAGCACGGACCATCCTTGAAACATCTCCGAACGGAAGGCGTATGTCACTTCCTTGGCGGAGAAACATGGCCAGAAAAAAAAATCCACTTCGATGTGAGTCGGCGTGTATAGCAGGACCATCCTGTCGGGGGTAGTCTACCCCTCCGCTACTATCCGGGATCGACCGCACACCCATCAGACAGGATGGTCCAGGAAGGTTCGTGGCTAATGGAGCTGGAGATCCAGGGCTTGACAAACAATGAAGGGAAAATTAAGACCTGGTTTGCACCCAGAAGCCCTGGGATTGTGGACTGGCCATAGATTCAGCTTTGGGAGGCATCCAGGAGTGTCTTTAGAAGCGGTGTCCTCAGCAAGCGTACGAGTTGTTCAACTGGCATGGCAAATTGAACATGTTGCACAAATGCCAAGAATATGTTTGCCCAAGTTCCTGTCATGAATCAAGTCCCTGTATCTATGAAACACACATATTTATATATATATATCAACTACACGGCCCCTTTTGTCACACCAACGATTACGTTCCACAAACCATTTGTTCCTTTTAGGAACCTTTTGATGTTCATGACTTGGCTTGAACGCTCATCAATTTTGTGCAAACTTGTGGTCAGTCATGAAATAACGACGCATTGTTTCGCGGCAGCAACCATAATTACCGGAGACCGAAGTTGACACGAACTGGGCAGGTAAATGTGAACAAAAATTTCTGTCCACCCAAACGTCATGTGCTACCAGATTGAATCCGAACTGCCCACGAAAAAAAACAAATCAAGTTCCATGAAACCTCTGGACTCTGGACTTGTCATCCCTTCCTTCAGCAAATCATCTACAACGACACTGCCCGTGGCACCTGAGTGAAGTCGATCTTGGGCTGTGGCTCTCCTTAGTCCCGAGAACGAAAACACCTCACAGGTTCCACGGTTTCCAAGAACTTTTTTGCATTAAAAACAATGTGTTTCCTATATGTTTAAAAACTAAACATATTGTGCGACAAATCGTTATGGCATGTCCGGCGGCAGGTTTCGGGCGCATGCCAAAAAATCGGGCCTCGATAGCAAGCGCGTACTAAATGCTAATACCAAAAAGGCTGCCCCCCCATACATGGTAAACTGAAATCACCGACTTACGCCTTGATAACGAAAACCGCTTATAATAAATGACAGTCCCAGCGACTGAGTCCTTAAATTCAAATCCAGTATTGGTTGAGCAGCGCAGAACAAATATTAATACAATAATCTGAATATTTTTATAACATTGCATTGTAGAATTGCGTGGATCTGTCAGTCAGCTTCCAAAGTGGCAGCAACAGAAAAATTTGCCGTTCCAACCCACGCACATCCAGCTGTGTAAAATCAGTGCGTCCTGCAATGCGTGAATCCAAATAGGTCACGCACCCGGAAAGGTTCATTCCCATGATGGCACTCGTGGCCATCAAAGCAGAAGCCAGCATGCTTCTAAAATTCGATGACCTTATAGCGGTCATCTTCACAACATTGCTCCTCGGAATCCTGAGTGGGACGTGAACATTTGTCCTCGTCTGTCAGGCAAAGCATGCCAACCTTGTTGTGCTTGCGGCACTGACGCTCATGCTCAAGCAAACGCTCGGGAGTCCGCTCAGGTGATCCGATATCTTCCCACTCTTCAAGGTCACACTCAGCTGCAAGCAGCGGCACCCTGTGCGTGAAAATGAACTGCTCCATCATGGACTCTGGCGAGTGGACGATGCGGAATTCTCGGATACAGCCATTTCAACCCACTTAAGTGGATTTAGTGTACTTAAGCTAAGTATACGAACCCACTTAGCAAACTTAGTTTATAAGTGCGCTAAGTGCACCTAAGTACTTACAAACTAAGTATGCTAAGTGCCCTAATGAGAAACTATTTTTTTTAATTCAGCTTACTAAATAGATAGTGAAAAACCTAAGTACTTAGTAAGTTGAGTAAGTCGAAACCCACCACTTACAACATTTAGGAGACTTAATAACTACACTTAGGTAACTTATAAACTAACTTAGCAGAGATACTAACCACTTAAGTAAGTACATTAAAATGCTAAGTGCTTACTAACAAGGCAGAACCTCCAAGTAGTAGTAGTAGTAGTAGTAGTAGTAGTAGTAGTAGAAAATAGTAAGTAGAGTTAAAGGTCAAAACCTTGGGCTTTATCGTAATAGGCCGTGTCGATCGTGGGCGACGTGCTCGACCGCGTTAACAGCCTTTTCCAGGTCTTGGGCCAAACATTGTTGGCAAGCTCTTTCAGTTCACAACGGCAATGCTGCTCTAGCATACCGATTCCAGACTATGCAACTCTTTACATGTTGATTTCAAGCATAGGACAAAGTGGTCCAAAAATGCTACATGACGTGAGTCAACCATGCATCTTACCTCTCACCAAGTCTTCACTTACCATCAGGTCAGGTACTAAAGGATGTAGCTTTCGTACGAGGGAAGTTGTCTAGTAGTCAGTAGTAAGTAGGCAAGTAGGCAAATAGGTAGGTAGGTAGGTACCCAGAGTCCGCCTTATTGAAAAAATCAATAAATATCGCTTGTTTCAATACAGCCCACCAGTTTCAATAAAAACAAAACTTTTATTGAAATGTAAACCAATAAAGTTTGTTGAAATATACCAATAAGGCTTTATTGGTTTAGGCTTTCAAACCAATAAACTTTTTATTGGTTTAAAATTTCTAGTGAATAAGTTCTTTTTGAGTCTTTGTCTTGGTGCATGGAAGTGAAGTGAACCATATGCATCAGCAACTGTGCTTGGATCTTTTTACACACCAAAGTCAGTGAGGCTGAGCCCTTGTGCAGGACCTATACTTAACTTGCAAAGCCCTTATGTGCAGGACCTAGTTGGAATCCTCCTCATCAGACATCAAATCCAAATTGCCACCAGTCAGCCTGAGGTGTAGTCCCAGCCTGAATCTCCAGCACACCTTCAAAGGCACCTGATGTGATGGTGTGCCACTTAAACACTGGTGTGCTAGGGCAGACATAAATCCAACCATTGTTTCGCCTTGGTAAGTTGCCACAAATCTGGGGTTAACCCACTCTGATTGTTCAGCTAAATGGGCACTGAGGTGATGCTTGTGGATCGTATTCCACTGGAGATACCCCTGCTCTATGCTCAAAGAACTCAGAGTTGTGTAGTGTACCAAGAACAAGTTCATGCTCTTCAGCAAGGACTTGTGGGCCTTTCGATCCATGTGCAAGCCCTGCTCATCAATGATTGTATACACCTTGTTCAGGTTGTAAAGGCAGGCCAGCTTGTGTTTGTTGAAGCATCTGTAGCCTTGCCAAGTTCAGTCATACATATTTCATAGAGCACAGGAAGCAACCACCGAAGCTGTTTGGCTTTGATTCCACTCATGTCTGGAAAGACCTCATACTTCGACTTTGGGTTGGTGAAGCTTGAGAGGACAAGTCTCTTGATCCTGTGGGAAGCTTCAATGCTCTGTTCCAAGTACTGTTGACACACCTTGTCAAATAGAGATTTCAGCTTTTGGTCCACTGTCCCTGGCCATCCAGGTTTGCAGATGAAATCGAATACAACATTTCCAAGAGTGTGGGAGATTACTCCCTCATCCATGACATGAAGTGTATCCAAGGCAAAGGTGTCTTGACCCCATTGACTTCTCCCAGCTGGTGAGAAGTGGGGCACTTGCCCTTGTGAAGAACTTTGGTCTTCCTCCATGCTGCACATGGCCTGAAGTCATTGAATGGGACAGTTGACTTGTTTGCCCCACACATCCAGCAGCAAGCATTGTGAGCATGGCCAGGAAGTCCTAGCTCATTCATTTGATACTCTCCATCACATGAAACAGCAAAGAGCCAGCCACACTTGCCCTGGGTGTTCAAAGCAGTGCCAGCCTTGAGAGCTCTTGGGCTGTTTGCAGGCCATGGTTGACATGGTCCACTTCTGGGTGTTTTCCAAAGAACATGTGGTTCAGTGACCACTTGAAGATAGACCATACTTGGGCCATGGTATCATCATGAGCTGCGCTGCTTTTGTAGCAACACTGCTTGGGAATTGCTATGAGCAAAAGTTGAGAGGAAGCAACATTTGCTTTGCTAAGCAAAGAGCGCAAGCTGATCACATGGATTGAGTCACCCCTGTGAAATTGGCCACCATCACCATGGAGTACCATGGGCAAGAAATGATACCTCCCTTCCTTCATGATGGGGTTGCCAACCAACTTGGGATCATCAGCACTGTGCTCCTCCCAAAAGGCTTCCAGGTGAGCAAAGCGTGAGGCTTCCTTATGGTTCTCCAGCCAGCTGAACCACTCATGGGGAAGGAACATGCCAAGTGGCTTGCTGGTCATGTACCAGCCTTCAGAGCTCCTAGCTTGGATTGGAAGCTCGACAATGTAAGGCCGCCAGGGCAAAGATCCAAAGGATCAAACTGAAGCTGTTGGGATGCCATCAAGATCCCTTGTTCAGGAACCAGGCTACAGCCAGTAAAGATCCCTTGTACAGGAGCCAGAGTAGGGCCAGTAAAGATCCCTTGCACAGGAACCACACAACTTTTGAGCTTGTTCAAGACTGCTTTTCTCAACCCAGTGCATGGAGCAGATTAAGTCACAGTCCCATGAACTTGGAATGCTTGCAAAATTCAAGAATCATCTTGTTGAACATTTCCACAACCAACTTATGGATTTTTCCATTAACATCAATTCATTGACAATTTTCTACATTTTCACAAGCAACTGCTGATTCTTCAATAAGAACACGTGTTTACGCGGTTCTCCTTTTGTCAGCCTTGAGCCAAATTTGGCCAAGCGTTAACCTCTTAGGGTCAAAGTCCTCAGCAAACTTGCAAAAGTGGTGAAACTACCCGTGATCCTTTACGTCCCCCCCCATGACTGCTATAGCTAACTGTTACACGCCCCAATTGCGACGGTGCGCCACGCCGTCACGTATGTGGCTTGCAGTTGCTTAGCTGGTCATGGAAAGTTAAACGGACGAGTGAACTTCGTCACACTGTGCTTTAGGATTGGGTATCATTTTCTTTTTACAGTACTTTACACTCGCTCAGAAGCAGCCAACTTTAGAGATAGCATTCCCAGCGTCTCGGCCACATAGAGGTAAAGCATCGGCCAGTCAGAAAGCTGCAAAGAACCACTTCCTGAGTCATCCGCGCAAGCGCAGGACTGACCCTATTTTGGAAAATTGATCTTAAGGAATCCAGAGCCAAATGTCATTCAGGATGCCTTAGCAGGTACCTTAGCTTTCGGTGTTTCGAACCTTAGTGGGAGCAACTCCGATTCGCTCTCTCATCTCTAAAAATGGCGCTCGATTAAGACCCTTAGTCAGAATGTCGGCCAACTGATCTATGGACGGTGTGTCGATGATGTCAAAATCCTTAGCATCGATGCTGTCCTTGAGTGCTGCCACCGAAATGCGGTGAGTGCGGCTCATGGACCTCAATTTCGGACTGTATCCTGTTCGGAGGATAGTGGCACAGGCTGAGTTGTCTTCCATTAGTTCAGTTTTCACGGGGTGATTCCAAATCATTTCCAGCACCTGTTTGAACGGGATTCCCCCTGAATAAACTCCTTCATTTACAGCTGCAATTTCTGCTTCCGTCGTCGATCGTGCGACAGCTGTCTGTCTCTTTGATGACCACGACAGTGGGGAACTTCTCACCGTTTTCAGATACTAGAAACAAAATGATCCCCGAATGACTTTTACATGTAACCACATCGCCCGCCAGGTCTGCGTCGCAGTAAAGACGCATGGTTGGCAAATCCAAAGTTTTGGGCACGGATCCCCACAAACCGAACTCACATGTGGCTTTGATGTACCCTAACAACCGTTTGATTTGAACATCATTGTTTCGACACCATGTTGAAATCGAACCAGCAAGGTGAACTATTCCAAAT